GGTTGTAGTTTTGTTGTGGACTTAGTTCTCGAGATAACAGAGATCTGTTGATATGATAATCGTATGATAAATGAATCTCAAAAAGATAAGCCTTCTTGTGTGTGACCTAATGTAGCTTTATGTCTATCACTGGTGAAAGAGGGAAAAATGACAAGTAATTAAATTATAGTCCAAGCAGTAGGACACACACACACACACACACACAGACACACACACACACACACACACACACACACACACACACACACACACACACACATATGCAAAATGCTTGCACAAAGTATAATTTGTTGCTTTGAATGATAATAAATTATAGCCTGGCAGGTTTGTGAGAGTAAATTGAATATTATTTTTGTTAAGCGAATTTATGAGTACCCTTTCAGATAAATGGAAAATAATTTTTAATGAATAGATAAAGGATGCTGAATATGGGGCTGCTAGGCTGGAGAAAAAGCAAGAAGACCACAGAGGAGGATTATGGAGGCAGTGAAGAAGTGCTGAAGTTATAGAGGAAGATGCTAGGGACAGTATGAGATGGAAACAGATGCTCGGCTGTGACGACCGGGAGCAGCCAGAAGAAGATAAGCAGAGTGCATGACAATAGAAGACAAAGAGGCACAGAGAAAAAGGAAATGACAAAAGAAATTAGTGCCAGTACACACAGTGACTGCGATAAAGACCTGGCGTGTGTGTTTGGGGGGATTTTCACCAGGAATCTTCTTATGCTCCATTCTCTTACACTGATCAAATTAGGAACTAACATTTCCTGCATATATGATAACCCCAGCACATTTCATGATCAGCTCAGTTTATTGCCCGGCATGCACAGATAGGGTGCATGGGATCTCTTTCAACACTATGCGGGATAAACACCACTCCTAAAATATCCCATCCACAGCTGAAAAAGTCAAAGCTGTGTTTGATGAGTCTGCTAATGAGGGAAAATTAAATATTCTAGCGATACAAGCATTGTCAGGCTATCATTAAGCATCAGAGAAAGGTCAGCACCAAGGGTGTTGTGCAACCTTCAACTATCACATTATGTCCCAGGGAGAATTTAGATGAGTATTGATCAAATGGCCTTTCATTAATGGCAGTTAAGTGCATTTTGTTAAGTCTATTAGCTTACTGTTAAAACTCAATAACCTCCTGGTTGTGCAGTGCCCTTCCACGTGTTAGAGGTCATAAGAGAGAGAGAAAGATGGAAAGGTGGACAAAAGATGCTTTGGGACTTTGGGTGAGTCTTTTATCTATGTTAAGAGCTCAGATAGTCGCATTCTTGGAAACTGAAGAACAAAAAAGAAAAAAGCACACACACACACACACACACACACACACACACACACACACCCCGTCGGATCTTTTGCAATCAATGCATAATGAAGTATAAGGATAAAAGCAGCAGAACTAAGAGCTGAGAGTGTTTCAGATGCCTTAGCTTTTCTGCTAATGAACCTGTCCTTCATGTCCTGAGTCTCTTCATTTTCATTTCCTAAAAATGAGAAGTTACTTCTTACTTTGCACTGACTGGCTTTGCAATATATCAATATATTCATAATCTAAATCTGTCCTCTCAGGTCAGTGTGAGTACAAGAAAACAATTATTAGAATACAATGTGTTAAATTTGCTTAGATAAAAGGGTCCAGCAGTAGATGAGAGGAATAGGGAAGGATTTGTCTGTGTTTCCGTTTGGCTTAGCTGTAGGCTTGAGAGTGTGTGTAATTGTGTAGAGGGAAATGTCACGGCGGGGTGCGCCGATGTGTGTGGAAACAGGACCCAAAAGCAGATGACGACGAGGGGTAGTAAGGTTTTAACAGAAAGGTGAGGCTTTATTAGAAGATGGCAGAAGTAAACCAGGAAACCAAAGTAAACTGACAAGACACTAAGAAACAAAATACTAAAACGGTACTGAGACCAAAACCTAAACTATGACTGTGGTGGAAAATAACAAGCAAAGACCATGACTAAGACTAATAATACATAACAGACGAAAACCGAAACTAAGACTGAGGTCAAATAAACAGAACCAGGCTAGAACTAGGGCAGAATAAACAGACGACCCGACAATGGCATGAAGAAAACAAAAGGCTTAAATACAGACATGAGGTGATCAGGGGAAGTGGAAACATACGGGGAAACAGCTGACAGCCATAAACCTAATGACAGGACCAGGAGAGAAAAGCTAAATACAATTAACAGAGAACACATGACATTGTCAGAATAAAACAGGAAATACTAAAACTAAACATGACAACACAACAGACCTAATACGTGATGAATAAATACCAAACCCCAAAACATAGAAAACCCAGGAACAATAACCAATAACTGCCTAAACTAAAGGCAAAATAGGAATTAACACAAAAATAACATATCAAAAAATACAAAGAAAACTCAGAGTGCTGGGTCGGAGACCCAGCCTGTGACAGGAAAGGAATTTATGTACACTGGGGGTCTGCCTGTCATAAAAGGAGACAGGAAGCTACAGTTGGGGATTGCTGATGCTTGTACCTTTAATAAAAACTCATACTTGTTATAACTTAGAAGCAGGTTTGCAGGAGACTCTCCACATGCTTATCTGTCAATGTAAGACAACAAGGGGCCAATGGCCCAGTGGATGCAGAGTGGGGGTCTCAGTGTTTGTAATATGTTAATAATAATAATAATAATAATAATAATAATATAATAATAATAATAATAATAATAATGGATTGGATTTCTATAGCGCTTTTCAAGGCACCCAAAGCGCTTTACAATTCCATTATTCATTCACTCTCACATTCACACACTGGTGGAGGCAAGCTACAGTTGTAGCCACAGTTGCCCTGGGGTAGACTGACAGAAGCGAGGCTGCCATACCGCACCATCGGCCCCTGTGGCCAACACCAGTAGGCGGTAGGGTAAAGTGTCTTGCCCAAGGACACAACAACCAGGACAGAGAGCCCCGGCGCCGTCTCTGGATGCCTCAAGGAATAAAAAAGAACCGGAGTGAATGTCATGAACCGAAGTTCCGAGCGCAGGCAGGACCCAGTAGCAGAACACACACACTAGGGTAGGAGCGAATAAAGAAAGTAATTTTTATTGCAACTAAAGGTGTCCCGTGAGGGTAGCCAGAAAAACAACGTATGAAACCAGAAGAAACCGAGGGACCGCACAGGGAACGCCGAGAGCGGGGCTGTGAGAGGCTGTAAAACAAAAAGAGAGACAGATTACTGGGGTGCGGAAAAAAGGCAGCATACGAGGGAAGGTGGAGTGTGCGTCTCACGGTGATAGCCGGGCCGAGTGAACCAGAGGGGGGTGGAGCTCCAAAAGGGGTCGAGACGGCGAAGCTGAATGTGAACCAAATCTCAGGCGGACAGGTGGACAGGTGGACAGGCAGGTGGCTCGAAAACAAAAACACGCCGAGTTGTGATCGCTGAGAGGCGACTACGGACTGGCGTGGAGCAGCAGGTAGGGCAGGATTAAATAGTCCACCTGGTGATCGCCTGGGATGGGATGCAGGTGTGGGGTTAGCAGCCACGCTCGTGGGCGTGGACATCCCAGCAGCACCCCGGACGCCGGGCCGCGGACCATGACAGTGAAACTGATTTCGTAACATCAGCCTGTCCATATTCAGTGCATGCTGGCATGTTTTTCAAGGGAATTATATATCAAGGGAATCTTTATTCTGTTGCCAAATGGAGCTGCTGAGGGCAGTGGGCTGTGTGATCATTATTATAGTATATAGTATTATTATTTATGTGGATATGGGTACCCATAGATAGATAGATAGATAGATAGATAGATAGATAGATAGATAGATAGATAGATAGATAGATAGATAGATAGATAGATAGATAGATAGATAGATAGGTAGATCTACATGGAACTTGTTTATCAGCACCATCATAGTTTTAACTTCACGTGAAACAAGTCATTTTTTTCTGAACCGAGTCTAACTCTGAACCTTTCTATGGATAGCCCAGCAGGCCTTACTCACATCCTGATGGTACAAATCTGTATCATGCAGGCTTTCTGTGATGAATCCAAGGTGTGAGAGCCATAGAGATTTTGAAATGCGCTCATGCTAAGTGAGCTATCACGCTTTCCTAATACAGTTATGTCTTTGCACAATCAAGATGTAACAATGTTGCATACAAAGCTCTGTGAAAAGTTAGTTTATCTGGTGCGTTGGTTCTTCTCTGCTATATAAATAAAGGCCCATGATATGCAGTTAATCTGCTTTAGGGTATTCTGAAGGCAAAATTGGCCCAGAGATCTTTCCTCAGTGAATTTATAACCAGGCAAGATTACAAAAGTCACTGATTCTGTTATTTGCTGCAGATTCTGCTCCCAGCTTGTTCAGGCTGACCCACTGAAGGGTCTATAGAAACTATAATGCAATGCAGCAAACTCTGGTTGTCTGGGGCCATTGTTTACCTAAAGCTTTTGTTTGGCATTTTTCATATACTTCTATCTAAGAATGACACTAAGCATCAGCTTAGGTCCACAAAGCAATTTGAAAAGACATTTCAAACCACACAAGTGTTTTATTTAGTATTTATGTTTAGACTACGGCTTTGCTACACTTCATTTCACACAAAAGTTGCGCTGAAGAGCGAGAATCCCATTCTCAACAGAAGAGACGAAGAAAATCTGCCCCCTCTATCTGACATGCAGTCTAGTTAGCAACACCTTTGTTCATTATTTGTGCAGCGCAGTGCTGCTGTTGTTAGTGATTGAAGGAGAGCTGCACAAGCACAGAATGAGAAAGTTAAAGCTCATCAATAAAAGAACAGAGAAGGGAGTCTCTGTTGTCTGATGCCCTCTTGCCGGTGTGGGATTGTTTACATAACATTAGCACCACTTTATTTTGCACGCTCTCAGCACCTCTGACTATTTTCCTTTTTTATCTCTCCTCTTACGGGCTCTGAATTCTAATGTGATCTGGCCCAATTATTCAAAATAGTTCAAGCTGAGTTTTTTATTTAGTCTTTATTTTATTTACAGGATTATCAGTCATTATGATTTAAATGAAAAAACATCAAATTAGCAGCTGTCTTGTATGAAAGCTGATGCTATGACCACAGAAGCTCCAGTCAACATATGTATCTGTTCAATTTACCAGAGATAAAAAGGCTGTTTGTGGCACTGGTGGTCTGTCCAACCATGAGATGCCTTTTTTTTAAATGAAAAAATGCTTTGGTTTAAAGTAAATGTCTGACATATAATGCAGATGTTTAGAGGAAATTCGACATAATTCATCATAATTTTCAGACTGACACATATAAAGTAAGAAAAAGAACGCATCTGAGTATATTTGCATGGCTGTCTAAGGTCAGCGAGAGTGAGACAGAGAGAAATAATGATCGTAAATTTTTCATCTTGTGTGCATACAACACAGTATACGTGCTCAGTTCAAATATGAATCATATACTATTTGCTGCACAGGGGTATAAAATCTTACATGGATCACTTCAAGTCCTAATCCTCAAAGCTTTCCACAAGGGAGACGTTTACTAACTATGCACTCATTACGCTGAAGTCTTTGATGCCATGCTGCCTTACCCCGAAAAGCTCAGGAAATTGATTTTAGCTCTTGTACATTTTATTTGCCTTTTATTTTTTCACAAGAGATGAGTCATTTCTCCAGGACAATGCAACAAGCACTACTATTTTACTCCATACATCTACAAAAATAAAATGTACAAATTCTCCCCCCCCCCCCCCCCGCTCATTTCTTTCGTTTTTCCACAGATACAACAACAGGCGATTAAATTGCTCTTTTCTTTTATGATATTTTAAATAAAGCAAACACTTCTAAGCATCACTGTCCTGCTTTTTTAAAATTAATTATTTTGATTCCATTTGTTCCATTGATTATACTGATGAAAGAATTACACACTTGTACCAGTAAACAAACACAAACACAGTAATTTACCAGTATGCATTAAAAAAAAATTACGCCTGAGTGCTGCAACTATTTGAATCTCACTTTGGATTAACAGCTATACATGTCCATGACACGAGAGCAGTATTGCTCGACAGAAGCGGGGAGACTGAAACAGTGAACAACTGTAACAACAGAAATATGTGATGCAGAGAAAATCTTGAGAAACACAGTAGAAGTGAGGCACATCCTACCGTGCAGTACATTATAATTCTGCATTTTTTTTGTTTGTTTTTTTAAAGAAATGCGATTTTCAGCATCGACAGAGTAGGTGAGACATATGCCCTCTTGGTAAACAGATCAATAGTACCGCAGGTGGAATGTTTCGAGTTCCCCAGTCATCCCAGTCAGACATCCATTTGGACCAGCACCAAAACAGGTGGTGCCTCAGCCACTTTGGCCTTGCGACGCAGCAGATGAGTCAGGCTCCTGAAAGATGGCGTGGCGTGCAGGAGAAGTTCCTTGAGGCCTGCCCGAAACTCCCGGCGGATCAGGCAGTAGAGCACAGGGTTGAGGCAGCTGTTGGTGTGCGCCAAGCAAACAGTCAGAGGGAAAGCATAGGCCTGTGCATTGTAGAAAGCTTTGCTGAAGGGCACAAGGTCAAACTTTATGAGCACACCCCACAGTGTCAGTGCCTGATTAGGAAGCCAGCAGAGAAAGAAGGAGAGAACTACGATGACAATGGATTTAGTCACTTTGGAATGACGCTTTTGCCGGCTTTGGTTTGCCTCTGGGCCCGCTGCACCTGCAATGCGCCGGCTTAGGATGAAGCGAAGCAGCAGCAGATAGCAGACGGTGATTATAACTAGAGGAATAAGGAAACCTACTAGGACCTTTTGAAGCTGATATAGACCCAGAAGGAGCTGTGGATCCCAACTGCCAGAGTCTGGGAAGCGCACCAGGCAAAGCTCCTCATCAGATACTTGGGCACTGGTGGAGTAGATGGCATGAGGCAAAGTGGCCAGCAAAGAAACAGCCCAGATGCACAGGCTGGTCCACCTGGCTCTGGCAGCTGCTGTCCGTCGGCTGTGTATCTTCAGTGCGGAGGAGATGGAGTAATAACGTGCCACGCTCATAGCTGTGAGGAAGAATACACTGGCATACATGTTCATGGTGGTGACAGAGCTGATGAGTTTGCACATCACACGACCAAACGGCCAGCGGAAGTCCAGGGCTGTGTCCACTGCCCAGAAAGGCAAGGTCAAAACAAACTGTAGATCTGTGATAGCCAGCCCCATCACAAAGCAGTTGATGGACGACTGCTTCTGCCTGTAACGGGAGTGCAACAGATACAGAGCCAGTGAATTCCCCACCAGCCCCAGAGCGCAGACGATAGAGTAGACACACGCTATCATCACACGTACCACTACGCTGGAGCTGTCTCCTTGAATTTCCATGATAGATTCCTTGGTGAGGAGCTGCAGCCAGCAGTGCAGTGACATGTTAGTGGTGGAACCTTCGCTGCAGTTCCCATTGTAGTCGTCCTGTAGTATTTGTTGCTGACATGGCTCGGGTGCCACCGTTTGAACCCCAGACTCATTCAGCTGCATGGTTGGCCTCTCCTTCTCACATATCACCTCGTAGGGCAAAGTTGAAGAGCTGCCGTGTCTTCAGAACACAGAGAAAAAAGTTTGTGCAGATGGCATTTGCAGCATTTCTGTTGCATGTGTCATCAGATTATCTCCCATGGCGCTGTAGATGCCATCCTCTGCCGCCGTTATTCTCTCCTCATTTCTCCACACACTACTCACAGCTCTCCGCGCGCCACGTCCGTTTATAGGTTTCGCGTGAACGCGCAAAGCTCTGCCCCGCCGTTGACGCTCTTCACCTCACCAAGAGGATGATAGGACCAGAGCGAATCCGCGCTCTTACAGCCGCAGCCACATCAAAGTCTCCCAGAATGTCCGTCAGCGCTGAGTCTTAATGTATTTTGACAGGACAGTGGCACATCCATAATCTTGTTTGTACAGTGTCACCTGTGAACAGGAGCTTTTGGAGACGTGGAGACAGTGTACGCATAAAATATGCACAGAGCGGACTGACTGTACACGGCGCTGTGTTTGACGTGATCGTTCGGGACGTTTGTTGAGGAGCTGAAGGACAAGGATCAAGGACACAGCATCATTTTTATGTTTCTGATTAGCATCAAAGGCGAATTTAAAGGCGGTGAAACCACGTGTACCCGTGTAACGTTTATTATTATGCCAGCAGCTAAGAAATATTAGCCAGAAACAATACTACCTAGAAGTTCCGAAGTCGTATAAGCGCGTTAATCACAGACTTACGATTCCACTTTGTTAGGGACACTTCGTCACCTCCTCTTCGAAGCGGATATCTAATCAGCCAATCACACAGTAGCATCTCACCTGTCGTTTAGACATATACAGTTCTGTGCAAAAGTCTCAAACCACCCCTCAATTCTTTATATTTTGCTTCCCATAAAGTAATTTCAAAAAGTCGTCTTGAGCAACCCCCCCCCCCCCCCCCCCGGAAAAAGCAAACAACAACAACAACAAAAAAAATAGATTTTCTTTCAACACTGACTGTTTCATTTATTTGTAGTGCTGACCATTTGAGAGGATTTTTAATATTTGTTTGTTATGAAACTTGACACTGACTTATGAATCACTAACGCATAGAAAATGCACCGCGGGGCGATGAAGGGAGGAACAGTTCTCCTTGAAAACAAAAATAATTAAATAAAAAGGTCTAAACTACACAGGTTAAGTGGCAGACCTCAAATGAAGAACAAAACAGATAAACAGTATCTGATTGGCCAGTCCTCCACAAACAAGAAAAAATCCAATCCTGACACACGATTTGAGAGTACTGGTTTCATTGAGAGTTGAATTCAGATGTGAACTTTTTGCTTCAAATTGTCATTGAAATTTACAATGGAGGTCAAAAGAGGTACAACAGTGAGTGTTTACAGCCATCCGTACATCAGTGCCAGTTTTTAAGTCCTGATTAAAAACCTATTTTTACTCCCTGGCTTTTAACTCTGTGGGTAACTGACATTTTTATTGCTATGTCTGGTTTTTGTTATTTTATTCCTATATTTACATTTGTATTGTACAGCACTTTGGTGTACCAGGTGTGTTTTTAAAGTGCTATATAAATAAACGATGATGATCCGTAAAACATGGAGGCTCTGCCATGGTTTCGGACTGCAGTTTACCCAGTGGTTTTGGGGATCTTATCAAAACTGATGGAATTATGATATCAGAAAAGTACCATCAGATTTTGATCCACCATACAATGTCACTTGGAAACATGTGATTGGTAGACACTTTATGTCTTTATGGTCCCAAACACACAGCTTATGTAGAATAATATACATGGACAGAAAAACATGCAACACTGCTGTTCATAGATTAAACCAGTGTGGAATCACAAGAATAGAAGAAAAAGCAGCCAACATACAAACAATGGTCAAGATGGCCGGCTATAGTTCAAACCGAGCACCAGAAGAGGGAAGAAAGATGATGTAAGTGACTCTGAACATGACATGGTTGCTGGTAGTTTGAGTTTCTCAGAAACTGCTGATCCACATTGATCTTCCCACATAACCATCTCTAAGGTTTCCCCCTCAAAAAAAAAAGAATATTCAGTGAGCAGCAGTTGTCTGGGTGAAAATGCCTTATTGATTGCCACAGGCAAGACTCTACATTTGTCACTCTTATCACAATCAAGGTAAGCAGAAGAGCATGTCTAAATGCACAGTATATTAAACCTTGGGGCTCATGGGGTATAGCAGCAGGGAACCATACCAGGTATCAGTCCTGTCAGCTAGGAACAGGAAACTAGGGCTACAGGAAACTTGCATGGTGTCCAGTCAGTGTAAAACAACCTCGAGCATAGAAGTAGTTTAATTTGCATGATATTGTGAGGGTTCTGAATCTGTGGTTTTGTGTCACATTATTAACTCCAATAATACGCTGCAGAGCTACTTTGATCAAATGTAACTTTTTTTCTTTTCTCATTAACTGAGGGGACTCTAACACAAACTATATTACCAGTGTTTTACTCAGTTTCCTTGAGTTTTTGAGGAGCATTTCCTGTGTCTGGAAGTAATCCCTCCCTGTAACTTTCTGAAGAAATTAAAAAGACAAGACAAGATGAAAAAAATAATAATAATCTGCACACTTTTAATCCGTTGGAACTCACTTCTTGTCATCTTAACAATCCTTAAACCTCCAAATGCGTAGGCGCTGACAGTGTGACTGGTTTAATGTTTAAAGCATTTAAATCTGTGATGAAGAACACTGGGCTTCTCAGTGAGCCACAGATATTTCACAGGTTGCACACCAAAACACTTTTCTTGCAACCTGTTCTTGCTTTTGTCACATACTGATCTGTGGTCAGGACTCCTGCACTGGGTACGCTTTTAGTGTCATGCGTGTCAGGATGCAGCGTAGTCTAATATTCTCATAGATACAACTGCCTCAACATCTTCAACAGACCATGAGACAGAAGTACGTGTGCTCTGCTACTGCTATAGTCAGGAAAGGGCAGAGACATTTCTGTAGAGAACCTTGGTTTAACATCATGAAAGGAGACTGAAACGCCCGTGTTCTTGATAAAAGGGATTTCATGCTCAACACTCCACCTGCACAGATATTTTGGGTGTTGACCATGTTTCACAGTGTGCCATGTTATGACTGATGGTGTGTTGTTTCATCATATTGCTGCGAAACACCTTTCATTACGGCTGTAATAGAAACGCGGAAAGGCCAAGAATAATTATATGGTGTTAAAGCAAAGAAAACTGCTTTGGATATCAGAGAATAAATTAAGTCTCTAATTTATGCTTCTTGCCATAAAACCTAAATGTCCAAAGGGTGAGAAGCGACCCAACATCTGCATCCAGAAAAGCAGTTTACAGTGACATACAGATACATGTGTGAAAGTTTAGTTACCCACTGAAACGGACAAGCTTTGTTTGAGTAGACATGGTTCACGTAGACACTGTCGTGATAAATGAAAAGAGATCTAAAGACGTGACGGAAACCTCAGGTAATCCTAGCTGATATGCCTTCCCTTTATTCACTGAAAAGAAGTGACATGATGCTGGAGTTTGACTATATATATATATATATATATATATATATAAAAAAAAAAAAATATATATATATATATATATATATATATATATATATATATGTATATATATACCCTAGCTTGATGGCTGATGGAGTTGTTCTGATTGTTCATGCAAATCTGAACTTGCATTAAGCGAGCGAACATAAAAACGCTGTGGCTGAATGACAACATTTTTCATTTTGCTGTTGCTGTGACCTCTGTTTAATTCACCTATGAGAATACCTTTGACTGTTCATTCATCCTGCAGATCATTAAAAAAGACAGAATGATTACATGGATCTGTTTTTGAACTGACTGCACCTTGAGTTCTGATTGCCTCCTTGAATTAATTAACAGTTGTGTTGCCTCTGCAGGACAGCGGCTGTTACTTACTGAATACTGATGGCGTTAAAATCCCACGTTAGAGCATATGGCTACCAGTTAACAGAGCTGGCCCCAGGCTAAATGTCCGGATCACCTTGAGAATGATTGCCATTCCAGGGCTGGAAAACCAACAATTTCAGATTGTCATCTGTTAGGCTAATATTTGGTGTAGGCTGTACTCTGGAGATTCAATTCCGCTGTCAAACATTTGCCTAGAACACTTTAACACCATTGGTCCCAAATTCTGCTAAACTTTCTCTCAGAAGCTCTAAGGGTAAGTTCATCATAATCGTCTCTTTAAAATCACAAAAAATGTAACCAGACCTGAGCATTGAGTGTTTTAGTAGATATTGCATGCATTTGTAAGGACGACACCAGTCTATACCTGTGTGACATTTTCTTAGCTTTAGTGTCGAGTTGAGCTTCCAATTCTGGTGGCGCTCAGTGCTTCATTGGTTTGCTCTGCTTTTTGGATGTAGGTCTGTGTTGATCCATGTTCACCACCACCCTCCACACTCATCCAAAAGCACTCTGCTGAATTATAGCCCTGTTCTCTTTTTAATCTGTCCACTAAAACGTCATTTATACCAATATTGTTTCTTACTCTTACTGCATTCAGAGCAAGGGCAGAAAATATTGCTAGAGATTTAAGTGCCGCAGAAATAGAGAGTGTTCAAAAAAGCTCCTGACCCAGTTTTAGTTTGAAAACTCCAGGACTGCAGTTTGTCCTGCGCAGGCAGAAATCGAGACTTTTAGAAGGGATTACACAGACACTAATGTTTGCTTCCAGACTGATTTTTGTTGTAATCCGTACTCCTTGTTTTGCTGAGTGTTTCTTTTCTCATTTCCCGTCCTCTGTCTACCTCTCTGTTGTGTGGTGTGAGTTTATTGTTGCTACCTCCCCTAGTTTATTTCTTAGAAGCTTAGATCCATGTGGCTTTCAGTGTTTTTACCTCCCTGCTTTGTTCTCTTTTTCAACCTTGTCAATGTCTGAGTTCACCTGAGGCCTGTAGTGAAGCAGGATTTGGGTCAGAGTAACAACAGTTTTAACCCTTGGTTTTCAGTTTTCTTTCTGGGATACATCATAAAATCATCTTTGCGGCCTGCTTTTGGAATTTCCTGTTGCACTGTGTGCTTAGTTAAACTTAAAAATATCTTAGATTTCCTTCTTTTGCCACATCAGCCTCCAGTTAGTTGTCAGTAAAGGAATTACTATGAATTGCTACATCTCACAGCTCTAAATAGTTCATCGATAGTAATCAGTACACATTTTATTTAGTCATACAAATCCTGTAAAACAAATTATTCTTAAAAATCAAAAACCTAAAATGAATGATAAATGTCAGAAAGAC